TTTAATACAATTTAAAAAAATCTGTGATATGGTCCAACTCCCTATTTGATATCTCTCTATACACACACAGTAATAAAGGCAGTTATCAGGTCTTATTTGTCATTATACTGAGATTGGGTGCATAGGCGCTAGTTGGGAAAGAAGCTGATGAATTTAATTTTACACATTCTAAGTGAACTGTTTATGGGATGTCCATGTAGAGATGACAAACTATTCCATGTGAAAAATTGCTGTCCTGATCATATGACTCTGCAAGTTACCTCTGAGGGTCCTGTTGGCTCAGGGGCCAATAGATGATACAACAGGTATGCCTATGAGGTGCTGGCAGATGATGTCGGGAGGTTAGGCGGAGCATTACCTGCTGTGGATATGCCCAGCATCCTTTACCCTGTCTTTGGGAGAACTCCTCTTGGTGGTGGTGAATCCATGCCATTTGGTTTAGTCAGCTAATGCTGCCCAGTGCACCTCAATTCCAGCTCAGAAGTGGGCATGCGACTCACTTTCTCACTTTCTTAACATGATCAGATTTTTATCTACCTCTCTTTCATGCATGCGGCTACACGCTTCAAGGTAAGCGGACCTAATCCCTTGGCTCAGAGGATAAGGCCTGATTAGCAAAAATCAATCAGAGTAATCCCATTCCTTTAGCCAGAGAGATTGGTTTAACTGTATGTATGTGACTTAATTCAGAAAGAATGAAACTTCAAAGGAGATTTTCTGGGGGCTACTGAAAAGGAAGTTCCTTATTCTTTTGGAAAAGCACTCATTCTCTGCATCTCTGTACCTCACTTTCTCTATTACTTGACTGAACAAAGACCCAAATAACCTTTACTGCTCTTGCAAGCATTCTCAGGACCTTGAGAGACAACAGCCTTAGATAAAGCAGATAATCTAGACAAAACAATGAAGAGTCAAAAAGAATCCCAGTTTTTAATAACATCATTGAGCCATGAATCAACCAGTCTTAAAGCAGCCTTTCTCTAGACTTCCAATTACGTCAGAATGTTTTCTT